GTATGCAAGGTTGTATGTTAGAGCATTGTGTATGCCTCGTTACATCATGCATTGTGTATGCCACTTCATAACATTGCGTATGCTAGGTTGTATGTTAGGATTGCGTTCATGCATGTCATGCATATTGCATTGTGCTTGGGATAGGAGTTAGCCTAAGCACGGGAAACGAGTGACGGAACGTGTCTCAATTCCCGGTCGCCGACACTCCGAATTATCCATGATGGAGTCTAGGCCTTATTGTGTCCATATGTACATTCATTTCATATTGAGTCATGCAATTCGACTTCTCGGCCATCATGCATCGAGATGCGTGATTGGTGGCACGAGGATCGAGAACTACACTCCCTGAAGAGTAGTCATGCATACATATGTAAAAATACCTTGCCATGCCCATTTGTTGCTCTCTGTTGCAGCAAATCAGAAATCAGCAACCTTCCGGAGCCTGGCACGCATCCCAAGAATAATTGCAAACAGAGGCAAACCGGGGCATCGCAAGGGATTCTCCGCACAAGGCAGCCCGAGCATGCGTCATTCCTCATTTGGAACAGAGCTGAGGCAGTCCACGAATTTACGTGCAATTTACTGCTTTCCTAGATTAATTTGCTAATTAATTAGGATTTTGTACTTATTCGGACTGTACTATTTATTCGGGACTGTATATTATTTATTCGGACCCTCCGAGTGAGGGCACAACTGTAATAAGTGTACGTGAGTGTGATGTATGTTTTTCAACCCCACGTCTTTCTCCCTTTTATTTACCAGCATATGATGGTTAGATTAGGGCATGTTTCAATTAGCATACAATATGATAGCATGTTTGCATTCATTCATCTGTCTTGCATGCACCAGGCTCGGCGCATCATACTAACTGCATTTGTATCTCAATTCCAAGTTGAATACATGTTAGTTGTAGCATTTCACATGTCATCTTTAGAATAGCCGAGTCTATCTTAGTTGCATTTTGCATGTGTTGCATTAGGCATTTCTGTATAGTTAGGATCATGCATGGATTTCTAATTAGCTTCTGTTTTGGCTTGGAGTACTCGGTAAGTTTTATGCTTTAGCATCCTTCCATGCGTGTGAGTGACTACCATGATAGCATGCTTACCATGAGGCTATGTGCTTATGTGATATAACTACCTGAATGCCTGTAGGTGAAGATTGGATTATTTGAATTGGAATAAATGCATCGACTGTGAGTTTTAAGCCCACTAGATAGTGGCAAAATCATGTTTTTCTAAGCCCACCCAAGGGTGGCAAATCCACGTCTTATCCTACTTGCGGGTAGCACCATCAAACCACTTTAAAAAATAAACATGAAATATTTTGTTCCAATTCAGACGATCCAGTCTATACTTGTATGCTGTGCGCATCACATAGTAAATCTAGGCTAATAACCGGAATAAGAACGCATAAAGTTTTCAAAACTAGGTATCATGATTAGTAGAGGCCGATCTTTGATCAGGCGAGTGGGGGTGCTCACGAAGTGACCTTCCCCAATCGTACCCAAGTTCCCGAGCCGAGGCAACTTTGGTGATGACGGACACGTGGCCTTAGGCAAACGAGTCAGGGTTTCCTAAATTTTTCCAAAATAAAACACTTAGGTGGCAACTCTGTATCTGGCAAAACAGTCCATGTTTGGCACTTTTTTCAAAATCTGTTTTCTCAAAACGATTTGCCGGATTTGGACTCTTTGGTTCAGATTTAGAACCATGACAATTTGAAAGTCCGAACCTGTAGTGAGCCCAATACGAACAGAATGGGACCTTATCCTCCCGGGACGTTCGGGGACGTCTACACCGGCCGGACACCTTTTCTAGTAGGCCGGCCACCCCTCTCCCCTCAAATACAAAAAGCTGGTCGGCCAGCTCCCAAAGGTGGGCAGCCATGCTGCAATCTGTGTCTTTGGTCCTGTTCTACCCTCTAAAAGGAAGTTCCTAGCATTTCCATGTATCAGGAGTGTTGAAGGCGCGAGTTTTCCTCAGTTTTGGATGCGTTTTGTCGCCCAGATCGTCCGAAACACACCTTGTTTATCGAGTTGTTGTTAAGTCTTGCTTATCGAGTCATTGTTTTGATTATCAAGTTATTGTTTTGATTATCGAGTTATTGTTTTGTTTGTTGAATCGTCTTGTTTATCTAGTTTTTAAGTTTTGTTGAGCTGTCGAGTTTTGTTTGTCAAGGTTATTACTCCTTGTTTAATCAGTTTTGTTTTGTTTCGCTTATCGAGTTGTAAACTTGCTGAGGTTTTGTTATTTCTAAGGAAGTTAGGTTGCTTAGTTTGTCGTGTCGGTTCGCTACCTGACTTGGCAAATACACAATGCACATTTACCGTTCAATCTCATTTTTGTGCAAAATGATGCGATGCGATGCTGAGAACATAAAGTACAACACTTTTTCAAAAAGTTGTTTCATTCCATCATGCTTCCTTTGTTACAACATTTTACAACAAAGGTACAAGTTTTACAGAAAATAAAACTGCCTAATAATGTACAATGTGCTACAACTACTAGTAAAAAGGGTAAATAAAGCAGGAAACAGCTGCAACAATGCTCTCAAGAGCATGAATAAGAGGCCCTCTTCGTCCTCTTCCGCGGAACAGACTCTCCGCCACCATTGCCATCATCATCATCTGAATCAGAGTCGTCATCCTCGGGATCCCCCTCAGCCTCGCCTCCACTCCCGGAACCAAGACCGGAGCCGTCCTCTCTGTCAGCAGATGTCTCCGACTGACGATCTGTAGCCTCCTCCTCCTCATCCTCACCGGGCTCCTCCTCTACAATGTGTGCTCTACGAATGTGGTGTGTGTCAGATGTGCTCTACACAGGCAACCTACTAATGCAGTGAAATGATCAAGTTCAGCATGTCATCGGAAGTATGATAAATGCGAGAAAATTAAAGAGTACCTGGACACCCATGATGGACAACTGTGCCTCTCTCCGTAAGACCATGCCCTCGAGTGTGGCCATCATCCCGAGCATCTCATCCATATACTCGACCGGAGGCTGCAGATACAAATGCAAAATATCAGTAAAGGAATGAATGTCCAAGTATCTGAGTGATAAATCAAAGCTATAAAGCATACCGCGGCGAATCAGGATCTTTGACATATTTGTGGTCAAACATGGGAGGCTCTATCGGAATCAAGTAGAGAGTCCTGAATCGCCATCCCGTCAGCTCGGTCGGCATGTCTGGCCACCCAGGATGATGATGAGTCGGAGGAATCGGGGAAACTAATCCACCCCCACCTCTAGATGTACCAGCCCTGCTAGTGGAAGGGACATCCGCAGCCCGAGCCCGGCCCGATGAGGGCATACCAGCGGGTCTCCTCATCGGAGTATGGACTCCCGTCAACGAAGGCATCAAGTATGTGTGACGATAAGTCGCATACTCTCCCTGCTCCAGATGAAGAAATGCATCAGTACCCAACCTGGCGTCAACAACACCCCGGGGAGGGAGCCTATCGGCTGTCCGCATGTCGTCTGGGGGTGCTGAGGGAATGTCCTGAACGAGGTAGCCCCATGTCTGGCACAGGAAGCGCTCCCCTAAAAACCAGGCCCTGCCAACCGGCCCCTCTAATAGGATCCTGTACCGAGAGGCACCCCAGGCTTCGGCAAACTGGAATCGGAGGTCTCTACCCAAAGGCGCCCAAGGCTGCCATGTGATCTGAGGATAACCAATGCATAAGCTGATCAGAAATTGTAAATGTGCAAGATAAATCGAAGGTTGGAAACATGAAGAACTGAGAGTTCTGCAATACCTCTGATGGCCGTACTGTGTCAAAGTACTGCCGTAGATAGAGAAAAGACTCCCGAGGTCTCGGCCGGTACGGGCCCTCAAACACCAGCGAGTAAGGGGTCATGGGAGGCATCGCCACCTCGAGCTTCGGGACTAGTGTCGGGAAGTATGCATAGATCCATAGCTGTGGAAAACAGGGCAGTAGCCATCAGAATACAGAATGCTGAGTGCAAATTGTAAATACAGAATGCTGAGGGCAGAGTACAGAGATACAAAATGTAAAGTGTACCGTGTGTGCAGTGTACAGAGAATGAAAGAAGAAATGTAAATCAAATGGGGCAGAAAGTACCTCACAGGCTCTCCAATAACCGCCAAGTATGTTCCCCCGTCCGCGGGAGGTCGCGCTTATATAGCAATAAAGAGTGGCCAGGCTGGCGCCACCCCAATCATACCGCCGGACCTGTGATAGGTCCACTAGGGCACTCAACAGATAAAGTCCGACAGTGTTCCCCCTATTGGCGAACAGAGTAGTCCCGAAGAGGAACATCAGAAATCCGCGGGTATACTGGGCTACCTCCTCAGGAGCCTCAGGCTCCATCTCCACCCTCCGGAAATGGGAAGAAAACCAAGTATATTGGACCCTGCCCGAAGATCTGTCAACTGGCGGGCGAGCTCCCAATAAGTAGATCCAGGCGGCCTCCCACTGGCCCATGTCCTCGTCATATGGGATCGCCCAGCCTCCCATATCAAGGCCGGTCAATACGGCGAAGTCAAATGGGGTCATAGTCATGTCCCCAGTAGCAGAGAAATGAAAGGAGTTGGTGGTGTCCCACCATCTCTCCACCAAAGCACCCATCAGCGTCCTACTAGCCAGACAACGAGATATCCCGGAGTAGAAGGGCCTAAACCCTACCAAGTCAACCAAATCCCAGACAGCCTCCGGAAGCTCCGTATACCACTCTCTAGCCGCAACAGAGCCATATTCTCGTGCTATACGGGAGGTCACCTGTATCCAGAATGAATACATACATTCAGTCTCAAAATGAAATAAATGAGCTGTGTGCAAATGAAATGTATGAGCTATGTGCAAACTAAAACAGATACAATGCAATGAGCTATGTGCAAATCGAAAATTTGGGCTGTGTGCTCAGATTTCAAGATCAGTGGGCTGCGTGTTCATCTCAAAGATCGAGCTGTGTGATCAACATCAGGTGTTTGGGCTGTGTGCTCAGATTTCAAAATCAGTGGGCTGCGTGTTTATTTCAAAGTTCGGGCTGCGTGTTCGACGTCAAGTGTTTGGGCTGTGTGTTCAAACTTCAACAAGTGTGTGTTGTGTGTTCACCTTTAGCTGGGCTGTGTGTTTGGAAATTCGAAGTTTGGGCTGAGTGTTCAACTGTCAACATATGTGTGTGTTGTGTGTTCACTATTAGGTTATGGGCTACGTAATCAGAAATTCAAGTGTTCAAAATGCAAACAGAATACTGTATCATGGGCTAAGCGTCAGAACAAGTTACGTGCTAAAAAGAGCAGATATGCATAGCAAGAGGCATGAAACGTACAAAAATGCGGAATACATTGCAGAAATGTAAAAAAGGCGAAGTAAATACCTCTCGTGCCTCATGAGAGAGGTGGGACTCCGGCTCTCGCAAAAGCAGATCCCCGGGTGCTCGATCATCGAAATCGGTAAAATAGTAGAAAACTGCCTGGGGGAGCACATGTGTCGGAGGGTTGTACCTCTCGGGTATGAAGGGTCGAACCCTCGGAGGTAGAGCCATGATATCGGGATCATCCCCGGCGCCCGGAGGACCTCCAGCGTGAGAGAAATGACCAGCCATTTTAGAAAATCTACAAAAAAGAGCAAAAATGAGCAAAATGAGCCAAAATTAGAAAAAGTCAACAAAAGTCAACTCTCGGGAAATGAAAAAGTCAACAAAAGTCAACTCCCGAGAAAATCTTCCAAATGTTGAGACAAACTTACCTCAAGTGGTAAAAATGAAGAAAGAGGCACCGAAATCAAAATTTAATCGGTCTAAAGTGACGAAAACTGAAAGATTTCGCGAAAACAACTTGCGTGGGGCATTGGAAAACGCGTATAGAGCTCAGCTCTGAAGAGGAAAATGGTCTAGGAAGGTAGAGAAGGTGTTTTCGGAGCTGGAGTTATGAGGAAAAATGCTTTGGCCGAATGGATTTAAAGAAAAGAGAGTGAAAGTACCAAAATGCCCACGGTTTTGGAAAAGTGGCCGGCCAGCCACCTTTTCGGGCAGGCCAGCCACCCCTCTCCCTCAACCCTGGCCGGTGGCCTCTCCTTGGGAAGAGAGCTGGCCGGTGGTGTTCCCCAGGTGCCCACCAAGCTCTCTGCAAATTTTTGGGAGGATTGGAGTCCCCGGGACCTGAAAAAGTACAAGAGAAGTGCACTTTCCGTCGCGAAATCGCTCTACCGAAACTTCAACTTCAACTTTCGATGTGTTTCTCATCGTTACTCGTCAAAAATGAGATGTATCCTTTTTGAACATGTTGCGACCCATCCGGGAGGTAAACCGGAGGTCGCGATTGAGTCACCCTCATCAAAAACTTGCATTTCTTTGCTCGTCGTTTTACGACAAATTCGCATTCGAGTCCACATTTGTTCTGCATTGTTATGCACGTCACTTGCATTCTCGTGCACACCACTCATACTATTGTGCACGTTTCACGAGTATTGTCATACCCTCATACTTAGCTTGCGTTGTTACGCGCGTTTCTCCCCGCATTGCGATGCACTTTTCCATCGACACCGCGATTGTCTGCATTCGATATCGCTTTGAATATGTGTTGCTAATTATGTTGTGCTTGTCGAGTTTCTTTCTTTTGCAGGCACGATATTGTATGAACGGTTCATTTGAGGCTGGTGCGACTAGACGAACCGCGCAGGTATTGTATCTTCTCCGTGTGAGACGTGGCAAGAATTGAATAATTCTCCGCATTCTTAACTACACGAAATGTAGTTGTTGCTTTGCATTCTTGCTTAAAATTGTTACATCTATCGTGAATATGTGCTTCATTACA